TGCCCATGTTAAAATCCTTTCTGTAATTCAAACAGGCACTCAAACACTTTGATTGATAGGAGTTGCTCTGGATTGACATAAGCAGTAGGTTCCTCTTTAAGAAACTGGGGACCAGTAGCTGCATGGGATAAGAGGTTCTGTTCAAAGCTCCAGCCTTCCATAAGCCTTCTCTCTGTAAAGTATTAAGAAATAAATCTCCCCTGGCATTAGCAGTACAAGTGATTAGTAATAGGTATGCCTGATACTCTTTTCACATTAATGAATTCAGCTTATGACTTGCTTTCAATAAATTGAGACTGTGGTAACTAAAGAGTATTCAAGCATTTTTGCTTGAATTTTTTACTTGAGAACAGCATGTGTCTACCGGTGTGAATAAAGAAGGGTCGTTTCTATCTCTATCCCTTAAAGAGTAACAGTGGTTTCTTTCACAGACTGCAGGAACTCCTCCGTTAACACTGGATGTTCGAGGCAGCTCTCAAGGAAGTCGCTAATATTTCCCAAATTCACCGTGGAAGCCACAGGTCTTAGCATGGTTGCGCTTGCAGCTGCCTGCCAGATTTGTTTGTTTGTTTCTACGGTTTCTCTGTTGTGCTCATGTTTCTTGTCTAGTATGTGCTTCCCAGGGACTATATTATTATTGCCTTCAAACCTTGGATTGTCTGAAGAAGAAAGTGGTTTTTTTTCATAACAAGCTGCAAAAGTTGCATGTATTTAATGAATGTGGAACTGTGTCCTGTAGGCTGCTGCATTGCTGGGGGAATAATGTTTCCTCTGAATCCCTGTAAGATTTCAAGCTAGTAACTTTGCACATTTATTTCCTTTTAATAAAAACTCTGCTTTGTGTACCCAGGGGCTCCTTCAGTGGCATCAATCATCAAAATACTCGTTTTCCCTCAGTGTTACAGTTCTTGAACCTATTTATTCTCTTACAGTTTAAATCCTTGTTGGTCTTATCAGCTGACCCTTATCTACTGCTTTGCCTGCCTCCTATGGAAGACCTCTTTATTATCTCTGCTTTATTCAAAGCTCTGAACAAAGTCCTTTTTAATTGCTGCCATCTGATCTTTGTCCTGGAGAAACAAAATTTGTTTTTCAAAACAAATGATCTCTGCAGCCTTACCCAGCTATCTAATATTACTATTGACTATCTTATCAGACCGTGTAATGATGCCAATTCTACCTGCTTCATTAACTATTTAAAGATTAACACTAAGTTAATCTAGTCTAGTTTATAAGAGATGAAGGCAAGAGTGAAACGTATGATTTCATTCCTTTGGGCACAATTCATTCAGGAATCTGAAAGAGTGAATTGTTGATATAGAAAGGTTAATGCTGTACCCCCTTTTTTATCAATTGTCTGTTTTTTTATCAAATCTGTGCCTTATCTCATGTCTGCTTTGAGATCTGCTTGAGTAAGGTACATAATTGAAGCCTTTTCCAAATTCAATTTCCCCTTCTTGGAAGTCCTGCAACTATAAAAAAAAAAATCCTTTTACAAAATCTATTTTAGACAAGGAACACATGCCACGTTCAGGTATTAAGAACTTGGCAACTATGCCCTTGAACACAAAACACCTCATCTTCAAACTGATCAGCAACCTAAAAAAGAGCATTTTAAGATAATATGCCCATTCCTCATTTCTTTTCTTCAGTTAAAGGAAATAATGTTGGTACACATTTTCTTTAAAATTGGCTGTTGGCTTTCCTAACAGTAAACTTGGTGAAATAAAATAACTGAGTTCTGTACATAGACTTTTGCCAGTCAAAGATCTTGTTCGTGAAGGGAGAGCTATTGGTAACTATATAGATCATAAAAAAATATGTTTTGTGGGTTTTGCTGCACAAACCCTAGTGTGGCAAAAAGCTGCTATTGTAGAGTTTGTGTTCAAAACTGTCTAGATGCTGTTCAGTGAAATTCCACTAGTTCCCAGTGCTCTTGAGTTCCCTTCCATCTGTTCTGTAGGGGCGTGGGAACACCAAACTCCCTCGCTCCCCAAACACGTGCTTTAATGAATCTTAAATTCTACTCATGAATACTTTGCGCTGCAAGATGAGTATGTTCTTCCTGTTATGGGACAACATACCTGCTAATGGCTATCTGAGTAAAGGAGGGAGAGGATTTATGAAGGACTAATAGCTTTCCTGTTGTGCCCCTTTGAAGTTCTCCCATACCTTTCACTGCTTCCAGTCTGTTCTGTTTATTATTCCTGAACTACTTCATTAAAAACAAACTAAGCTTTCACATTATTTTATTTAAAACATTAATGCCATTATTGCTGCTTTGCTCTTGATGCTAAAAAGTTACTCCATTTATTCTCTGACTTATATTTACTGTGCAAGTACTTTCTGTAGTTTTTCCCATTTTCTTACGTATTTTGATTTTTTTTTCCCCCCCCAACATGCTTAAAGAAAGTTTCTGTTCCAAAGTTTGCTTTTTATGTGTCTGAAACTTGATTGTTACAGGTGACTAGTATATTTTCTGCTTGTTTGATGTCTTGCTGGTTCTTGTGAAATTTGGAAACTGAAGGAAAGTTTCAGTGTGATTCTCCATTTGTTGTTCTGATTTCCTGGGTGATACTGTAATTATCTTGTCTATGAGTAGGAAACTCATGGGAAAACTGCAGCTGTAGGTGCTGAATGTGAGTTCTAGGTGCTTGCAAACTTTCTTCATAATTAAATATTTAAGCTGGTAATGATGAAATTAAAAATAGACTAGCAGGTCTGTTAGGAAGACTGAGCAGAGAGAATGCAGAGATTGTGTGTTTATCAAATATATTGCTGAAGCTTTACATCACAGTCTGGATTCTAGCTTAAGCATTTCCAGGCAACTCTATTTCTAAGTGTGTTTCTCTGAATTCTATTTCCTGTATTGCCTTATTGACATTCTCTCTCCAGCAAAGAGCTGTCTGTCCCTACATCTTTTGCTCCTGATGATTGTCTTGTATGGCAATCTGATCTTCCAAGTGCATGATTTCCTTATCACTAAAAACAAGGATTTTGAATCATATCTCATGGCTTTAGCCTGGAAGCCAGTTGCTTGTTGCCAGCATTGATGTATGGTTGACTTTTTTCCAGCTTTGTTGTATTTTGATGTACTTGGGTGTTAAAAACCTTCCCACCTATTACACTGTTAATCTCACAGAAGAGTTTTAAGTTTTAAACTTTTTAAGGCGATACAGGAAAGAAAACCACAGAATAGGCCTTTTTCTAGTTCAGGCAAGATATTTGGTTACTACAGATAATCACTCTATCTCCTCAGAGCTTGGCTTACTGTACCACCTCACTGTACTTCCCTACTAGTCTCCCACAGCAGCCTTTCAATAAGGGGAACAGGCAAGCTACATGTGGAGCAGGAGGGATGGCAACTGCCCCAGTGTCTCTTCTAAGCTGTCCCAGTGCTTGTCCTTATCAATGATATCAAGGGCAGACTCAGAGCTGCTCTACTTATTGAAAAGATACTGCTTTCTCTTAACTTGCATGTTCTCTTAGACAAACTATCGGAAGGTGCTGAAAACTGGCAGTGCTCTGCTTCCACGCTGCACTGTTAGCCTGTACTTTTCTAACACTCAAGTTTTCTTAGTGGTGGATGTGAGCTCCTTGGAGGTCTGCCTGACACCCGTGGCCACGAATGGCAGCCTTTGTATTAGTGCCATCGTACCTGGGCAGGAAGAGGCAGCTCTCTCTGGCTACTGAGGCAGTAAGACACCCGACTTAAAGTTCACAATCAGAAGTCAGGCTCCGAGGTATTGGATGTTACTGTTTGGCCTGTCAGGACCCATTATGCTGTTACCTGTACCCTAATGGATCTTGCTAAGCTTCTCCTGTAGCTCATCAGCCCTGACCTTGGCATTCTCCAGTAAGAGTAGTTGTGGTTGACACAAAAATATGTGCTATTTTCCCACTGCATCAGTTAAGAATGTTTTCACAAGGAATTTCTAATGCTGTAGAAGCGTTTTTCAAATGATGTAACTTCTGCTTAAACCTCAGTCTCTCTTGCAGGCTCTGAATACGAGGCTCTAAATGTTTTATATTACCTCTTAAAGACGCTCTTAGAGAAATCCTTTTTCTGCTCAAAAGTCAATTCAAGCCAGTAAGTTTGTTTAAAAACAAAGGGGTATGTGCTCCAATAATATATGCTTCATAATAACAAAATGAAAAGGGAATTTGGTAGAATTGTATCATTCACTCGTGGATCAAAAAGAAAACAAACCATTTTAGTACAAAACAAAGCTAATGCCTTCTTTTCACTAGAGGCAGTTAGAGTTATTTTTCTATAATTTAAAAATATATAAATAATAATAGAGTTATTTTTCTGTAACTTTTAAATATGCAGCAGCTTTAAGCATACTTGCCTTTTTCATGTTAGACCCATCTTCTTTATGTTCCTTTGAGCAGTTTGGATTTTTGTGCCAGCTCTCAAAGCTCTTGCCCTGCTGAAGACTCAAAGGATTCATATCAAAAATTTACTTTGACTTATGATCCCTGTCCCTCCTTGACAGAAAAAGTGAACTTTTAGCCACTACTGAAACTGGAGAAGATCTAGACTTTAATAAAAATAACAGGAATGTAAAAATCTAGGTGTATGCCCTGGCTTGTGAGAAACAGGCTCTGCCTTTCAGTGACACAAACCAATTTTTTTAATGGCTATAATTTTGTTACTGATGACTTATTGAATCCTCTGAGAAAATTGCACCACTCTGTCTGAATGGCTTCATAGTTAAAACTTACCTAAGCCAAAAATGAGTGTAGGAGTTTTGAGAAAGGAATACTTTTAAAATTCCATCCCTAGTTTATTAGTAAGGAATTCCTAGTGCTGGAATTATCTGGATGGCCATCTCTGAAACTGTAGTCTTTGTTCACTCTATCGTTGTTGTTTATGGGCCTCAAAATTTCTTATTTGTTTGGGGTTAACTAAGGTACCTGACATTAAATACATGCAATGTATCTGGAAAAATAAAGAGAAAACTGGTATCAACGCAAATAAAAACATGTATAAAAGATTTATTGTAAACAAATCAATTCTGTGCAAATAGTGAAGACAAATGGCTTCTGTTTTGTTTGTGGGGTTTTTTTTAAATACCATGATTTTATAAAGTGTAAAAAACCACCAAATCTGCTCTGTTGGTACGCTATGCAGTAATGGTCCGCAAATCGTCCACTCAAGCCAGTTATGTAATTGAATTTGATTTTTCTTGCAGAGTGGAGCTCCAATCTCTGAGGTTTAATGTTGGCTCTTAAGAAAGATCTATTTTTTAACATCTCTGATGTAGGAAGGGAAAGAATGACCCAACAAAATGGAAACAAAGCTGTAGCAACATGAGGCCCACCTCTGTTAGCTTCTCAGGCCCTCCATGTGTGATCTCCAGCCAGCATGGGAGCCCCTACCAGCCATGGAAACTGCTCTCTCTTCTTTACCCAGGCTGTAAAAATTTGGCACAGGATGTTCCTCCAGCTGGTCAAATTCATTAAGGTGGAAGTGAGTTGCCAGTTTGTTCACCATTCTTTTCAGGGTGACAAAGGCTGCAATGACTTGGAAGGTGAGGAAAAGGGCAAAGATGATATGGACTGCTCGCTCCAGTGGCTGAATTTTCAGGCCTTCATTAAACAGCAGGAAGAGAATTGTTGGCAACTGCAGAAGGAGACTCAGGAGCCAAAACCCAGCTAGCTCAGGCACCTATAATGGGGAGACATCACCTATTAAAAAACTGGCAGTTGGAGGTGAAAAAAATCCAAAATCTTGTGAAGAAACTTTTTGGGTTTTTTTTAAATCTTCCAAAAGCCAGCACATAATGTGAAATGTCAAAGTGGGGTGTCTTAGTATTTCCATATACTGTGTTTTTAACCATACTTTTTTTTTTTTCCTGACAAAACTGTTTTAGGGAGCGAGAGGGCTCTCTTCTGAGGGAAAATTTCTTAGAATGCACAAATTAAGTGGAAGCTGATGCCAAGGGAAATAGACACAGACTGTAACAAGAGAAATAACCATATCCTCAACTTACATCTTAGATGAACTGCTAAATCACTTTACTTACACTAAACTCCAAAAAGCTCTTCAGAACAAATTAATCTGTACATGCGGTAGCATACCTTCTCCTGCAGATTGCCCATGTATCCCAGGTAGAGTCGAATGACCTCTATTAGAGAGGCCAGGATCATGACTGTGACCAGGATGAACTTGTAGTAATCTGACAAGACTGGATACTAGAGGGAAGAAGGGAGGAAAAGTTTCTGCTGTGCTGTTTTATAATGTGTTGTTTGTGATATAAATCAAGACACTGTATGCTACCGTAAGCTGACAGTGTTGTATTAGCTTTCAAATACTCTTAAACCTCCAGTTTTAGGGAATTCCCAAATAAATCTAACAATGTGTAACTCCAGTGAGCTCTACCTCAGTATTAGGAGGTGCTTGATCAGAAACATATTACATTTGCAAACCATCACTTTCCTTCAGGACTCACCTTCAGATGGAGCATGATAACTGTGCTGAGCCACCAAAATGGGAAAAAATAGACATTGAAATAGAGGGACATCTGCAGAGGTAAACTGGAAACTATTTCATTATCTGTAGACAGAGAGAAGTCTTTGTCACTTGTAGTTTGTCCCATACTTCCCTTCCTTAAATATGAGAGAAAGATACTGCTCCATCTTAGCTTCCAGCAGGGCATTAACACTTTTCCACTCAAACATTAAGAAAAATATTTTTATATATCCAGAGGAAAACTTCTTGCCCTATCTCGAGTTACAACATTTCCTGGAATCTAATGCAACTTTCAGTCTATAGGACACAGAATTTTTATCACTTAGTCATATATTCGAGTGTCTGATTGTTGATTATCTGGTGACTTATGGATTAGTCCACAATATTTAACTGATAGGCTTAGCTCAAATAGCGCTGTATACTGACGCTGTAGAAAGAGTTAGTGGTTGGTTCATTGCTGTTCCTAAGAGAATGGTCAAAGTTTAAATAAGTACATACTGGATTATTATTATTTTGTAGATGACCCTCCTGAGTAAAGACTCACTGCTAGAGAGCAGGTTTGCATTGCCCACTCTTCATTTTCAATCTTTATTTAAACATTTGGATGGAAACTATGCTGCAAGAAGCCAGTAGTTCTTTTAGTTCTTAAGAGCTAATGATTTCAAATATGTGTCAAACTAAAACTTATCGTTTAAAGACTGGAGAGAACAAAATGCATTCATACAATGTAAAGACAAGCAAATATTGGACTCTAACACACAGACGGTAAATTCTGTATTTAGGATTTTATAACAGACCTAAAGATTAGACTTCAAACAAAGGAAAGCTTAAAAGGGCATTCTAAGGGAATCACTCATTTTGATGGATGAAGTTTCATCACCATATTCTAGTTAAGTGACATTGCATCTGCTTTGCTTCAAATACCAACAGTGCCCTTTCTGATGTTTTCCTCAAATGAAGTCTGTAGGCACATTTTCACTTGGTGCTACCTGAGCAAGTTTAGAAAGTATTTACTGGGATCTGATGATTTGTATTCAAGTCCTGTGCCCCTGGCACAATGGTGATATTCGACTGAAAATTAGTCTAAACAGTCTGTCTCACTTCCAGCACCTCTTTTCTGACACTGCCTTCTCTTTCCGTATCTTCCAACCACTCATACCTGTCTTTGTTCCATCTCGTCTGGCATCCCTGTTTCCAGTCCAGTCACAAGCAGCCTGGTACAGTCTGTTCCAGAAGAAGTCTTTATGCCAGCTGCAGAAGTATTCACCTACTAACTAGGTGGGAAGGGAGGAGGATTTGGGAATGGAACTGGGACACACCTTAAGGGTAGTAGGGTGTGAGGGGCAGGGATGTATAATACTGAAATAGAAGACGCAAGACAACCTATATATATATATATATATATATATATATTTTTTTTTAATAACCCCATTTTTAAGCATCAACACTTCCTTACATCTGCAAAGGAATGAAAATCTATAGGTACCTCAAAAGCAGTTTCATCTTCCTAAAATTGACCCTGTTGTACTAACAAATTAATCTCTTAAACACCAGAACTCTGGAGGGCATCAAGATACAATTCTAAGCCGCTGTTCTATCTTTAAAAATAACATGACCATCCACTTAGATGTAGTTATGTTTCTGCTCTATATGTATTAGATGAAAATGTAATGGTTCATGGCCATATTACTTAAAAACAGAAGCCAAGGGCTTTAATTCCAATTGTGATGACAATGTTTTAGATAAGTTAAAGGTTTCGTTTATATAGTATTGGATTTGCAACTTCTGCTCAAATTTTAAAACTGTTTTGGATGACTGTTTAGCAACATAAGCCAATTCTAATTCATCTATCCCTAAACTGAACTAATGCTTATTTTCTGGGACTGCTAAAATTAATGGAAAATCCAGACAGTATTGTGATGGCAAATTCTTTGATGCTAGAGCAACTTGCTAAGGTATGTATGTGTAAAGTTGACTTCTGAAATACTGATCTCCGAAGAAGTTACTGGTACACTTGCAATTGGTTTCAGTAGGTTGGATATTCACACAGGAGTTCTCATAATGGGAAATGGAAAAGAAATGACTAAAAATAGAAGCTATTCCTGGAGTTAAGAAATGATGAAGCCGGCGGGTTCCCGCCAGCCGCGGGTCGGGCCGTTGGCTCCCTCGGGGGGGTCCGGGACGGGGTGAGGTGCGAGGCGAGGCCTCTCCCGGTGTTGGGGAAGGGGGAGCGGTGCCTCTGCCCCGGAGGCAGTGTTGTAGTGGAGCTTTCTGGGAGAGACGCTGAGCCCAGAAATTTATGATTGCTGGCATGATGTAAAAGTGTGTTTATTTCTGCTCTGTGTCTGAGAGAGGTCACTGCTGCCTCAGCGTGCACTCACTCACACTTACAAGTGCGCTCCTGGTTATTTCTGTCATGTCCATGCGTGTGCATGGAGGAGAACATTTTTGCTGGTCACGGTCACTGTGCAAGTGTGGTGTTTTCCTGCCTGATTGGGACGGACTGTCATCCCTGGGAAATGAAAAGGTCAGCGCCCAGCAGGCAGGTCGCCCCAAGCTGTTCACAACACAGTAGACAGTAAGCCCAGTGTGTGAGAGCTGCCCAAACCAGCATCCTTTTCCCTCAGAGATGCTGGTGTGTGCCAGCCCCGAGTGTCTTCCCTCAGCTCCTGTTGTCGTTCCTTTCTAATCAGCTGGAGGGGATTTTTTTCCTAGTCTTTTAGGGCAGCGTCTGGGTTTTTCTGAAAAGGTAATTATGAAATACTGGTCCAAGGAAAGCAGTTGCAGGACTGCTCTGCTTCTGTCAGGATAAATCCAATGGCATGATGGTGCTTGCTGATGGCTGCAGAGAGAGGGGTATAAAATAAAGATGAATATTTGACCGAGCTGTTTTACTACTTCAGGTGAATATGAATAATCTTTGGTTTATGGTGTATTTTCTCATTAAGCTCTGTCTGAATCTCTTTTCCTCAAGGAAACTTGTCTGTGTCACTGTTGAGTTAAAAGCAGCTGTAAGATCAACGCAGCCTTTTTATTCTAGTTAGCTTTTGTCCCTTATAGGACATCCTCATAGTATTATGCGAAGATAATAATGTAAATACAAGTTCTGCGTGTTCTTATTTTATTTGGAAAATGTAGTCCCCCTAAAACCATGGTAATCTGTTCACCAGGTTTTTCAGTGCCCTTAGGGTGTGATTCCTTCTGAGGAGGGAGGATGCCATTCTTAACTGTGCAGGAAATTATTTTCTGTGCCATCAGAATGGAAGCGTAGCTGGTGCCTTTTACTGTCAGAACTGATAACATTTGTGGTTTTACTATACCTAATATGACATGTCAATTCCCTTTTCCTGCCCCCCACCTCCTCTCCCAAAATCATATTTGGCTGCTTCCCTGGGTGATCATTCTCTAGTATGACTTTCCAAACTCACTTATCTCTGACTAAATAATTTAAAGCCTAGTTTAAATTTAATTTCATTCTGTCCCACTGGGAGAACTACAGAGAAAGATGGCTAAACAAGCAGGAGTTCTGAGAAATCCATTTGGCTTTCAAGCTGATGACTGATGTGGTATTGACAACAGATACTTTTCAAAGAACTTCTCCAAACATGGCTATGCCTGCAGGAATCTGCATTTAAAAAACCTGAAGACCTTCAGAAGAAATGAAGAGGAAATTATTTTTAAATAATGGCAGCAGATTGGAAGGAAGAAGGAATTAAAGATATTCCAGAATTTCAAGGGCTGTTGTGTATGTCTCCTTAGAGGCAGGGAGGTAGTGGACTTTGCTGTGTAAGTGCTCCTAGAAAATAAAGTTTTAAACACAGATGAGGGTTATCCCTATTTTACAGATAAGACAGAACAAGAGAAGTTGAGTTCTGTGAAATACTGTTTGCAAACACCTTCTTCCCTGGAAATGTTCAAGGTCAGGTTGGATGGGGCTTTGAGCACCTGGTCTAGTGGAAGGTGGCCCTGCCCATGGCAGCGGGGTTGGAACTAGATGATCTTTAAGGTCCCTTCCAACCCAAACCATTCCATGATTCTATGAAAGTATCAAAACACAAGGTAAAAGAGGTGATGTAGCTTTTGTCATACAGGATGTGTGTGTACAGGAGTGACCATGGCTCAGCAATGCTAACTAGTTTACCTTTGGCCTAAGTAGCTCGGGCTTACTGCAAGCAAATAATTTAGTAAAGGTAAAAAGTCAGAGTATTTTTCAGCTTTTTTGACCTGACTCTATCTTAAACTGTGATGCTTTTCCCATAATCAGCACAGTGACTTATGCCTGTGCTAGCTAGCCTATTTGGGGGTGGGTAAAGCAACACAAGCTGCAGTCATAGACATAGACGTCATGTTGTGTCTTAGCCAGGTGTGGGCCTCAAAGCTCTGAGCTGTGAAGGCACTAGAGTTATACTGCTATTTCAATCCTAAAAATCTGAGTGGATGCCTGATAATTGGCTAACTTCCTAGTAAATAATAGAAGAGATTAAAGATCACTTTTATATTTAAGGAAACACTATGGAAAACAGCATTAATGTTACATAGGTTTCTGAACTTTTTAAAGTGCTCTATTTGTTAGCTTGCTAATTGCCAGTAGGTGCTAGAAATGTTATTTCCTGTCAGGCTCAACAGCTATAATGATGACTTTTGCACTATCTAGCAGGTCTCACCATGAAGTTCTCTGCGACCCAGAGTGGCAAGATGGTGAATCAGTGCAAGATTTCCAACCAGATTGCCTGAAACCTTGTTTTACTGTTGTTGCCTTGGTCCTGATCTGAACCACCCTTTAAGTTAGGGAAACACTAGTCCTACACTCTCAGCTAATTAGACACAAAGAACAGGTTTATACGAATTAAAAGTATGGCAGGGATTTTATTAAGTCAGATATTCATGGAAGTCTCAGATTTTTTTCATAGTATAAGCTGGTGGTCTCTAAAAGTTCAGCCTTTAGGGATTTTCCTTTTGATTACTTTTTCAGAATGGAAGAATTTTCCCTGAGCTGCACGATTTTATGCCTTTTCCTGATGCCAGTGGCTTTGAGCAGGGGCCCTGATCTCGCAAACAGTTTAATTTTCTTATATTCCCCAATTCTGAAAACCTGTCAAGCATACAGTCAGGTATCCTGCCAGCAGCTCTGTGGCAGTCAGTGGGACTTTGCAAAATTGGGCTCTGCTCATTCAAAAACTGTGAAGCAATCCAGCTTAGCAGTCAGTGAAGTGTAAAACTGAGTAGTAGGTAAAGGAAGGGCCAGTGGAATGCAGACACCACAAGAACAGCATGGATTTGCCATGTGAACTCAATTTTCAGACTCAAGGTGTGAATCTGTGATATTTGGCAGCCTTACATTTTCAGCAGATGACCAAGCATCCTACACATCCCTGCAAAATAAAATTGTGCACGCTTTTGTTTAATATTTTTGTCTACACAGATGCTTAAAATATTCCCTGAAGATGGAATATATACTCTTAGTTTTTACTAATTCTGTTTAAATTTCTTTAGACTGAGGTATACATTTTTGTGGTCAATTTAATTAACATAATTCTTTTTCAAGCAGAAGAGAATCTTAAATATTCAAGGATCAGAACACCAGGGCATTTTCATTGACAAGTCGGAGCCTCTTGTAACAGAAGGATATAAATGTGTGCCATAAAGAGTGGAAGAAGGAAAAATATTTAACTGTTATGTGACTGTAAGAGTTATGATGACCATCTGTATAAATATTGTAAGTGTTCAGCTTTTGGGATGAAACTGTATTTGGCCTTTTCCCTTTTTAGTGGAAAGGCATTCCTTTACTGAATTTCTTTGTGTCTTTCCACATATGAATGGTTAAGCTAGAAATAACTAGATTTCCAATTCTCTGTGCTTCAAAATAAGCTACTGAAATGTGAAACTGGAATAAATAGGTCCATAATTGCACAGCATATTAAATGACTGTTTTATTTCTTTCCACACATGCTAGCTATAAATAAAACAAAAGTCTCTGAAAATCTGCCTGAAAGCTTTAAATCAGAGGAATATTGGAACTTTGTGTATCCACAGTAGTCCAACTAAGTTGGTAGACACTGGCTTGTCTCCCAGACCAAAGCTCCTGAGGCTCTCTGGCAACAGCACTAAGCCATAAACACCAGATGCAGTATATCTAATGAAATTAAATATCAGCACTTTTTTACAGTTGGCATTTCAGAAACACAGAGTTCATTTAAATGGTGCCGGCGGTTTATCTTTGCACCTGAAACACAATTGCTGTATTTCTGAACATGCTGGTGTGGAATCTCACAAATGCTATTTTCCTTGGCATGCCTGTGCTGCTGTCCCTAATGTAGCTCTAAGTGTGCAAGCAACAGAGATCACTTTCCTTCTTGCTTGCCCCTTAATACCTGCTCAGTGTCTCATTAGAAGAGCTGTAAAACATGTAGAAAGCACTGGTAAGTCGAGGTGTGTGCAAGTAGGCAGGGTACAGGCTTGCTTTCTCATTGTGTCCTCAGAATGAAGTGACAGATTGGGAGTTTTAACAAATTACAAATGCCATGAGGACTCTAATGTGTGTATTTGAAAGGCTCATGTTATTAGCAGTGACAGTATCTGCCAGAGCAATTTCACAGCTGTGCTCCTGGCTTGCAATACCCCAGGACAATCTTTTCTCTGTGTCACTTGTACACTCGTCCCTGGTGTTCATTTAACACCTACAGGATATTTGTGTCTGGTAAACAATTACTGTTGCTGATGAGACTTATCCCAGGCCCATGTTTCAAATATTACACACTACTGCAGTCATTCCATGCATTAAATAGATCCTGGCTATTATAGTCTTAAGCATAGACAGCAGAAAAAAAAAAAAGGCTATTACTTGCTCCTGTGGATTGATTTTCTTCTTACTGTACTTGGCGTTTAGTTAGAACCACTCAATAGCTTGTCTTATTTTGTTGATTTGTAGTTTTGTCAAGCATCTTGGGAAACTCCCAAGGCTGGCACAGCTATTAAACAGGTTTTACCATGTGTGTTGCAAAAGTACTCAAGTTTTTTGCAATGTGCAAGGAGGCTACTGTGAATGGATGGATTTTGAGCCAGATTTTCAGTTTAGTGAAGATCTTTGACGTGCCCTTAAAGGACACTCTGCATGACCTGACCAGTGCAGAGGCCCCTTATTTTCAAAAGGTGGACTTGGAATAGTGAGTGAATGCCATGTTGTAATACTGCAAACAGGCTGGGTACCTTTTTTCATTTGTTTGATATCAAGCTTTGTCGGCAAAACGATGTTCTTCGTTTGCTTCCAGACCTTGTTGGGGATAAGTTCTGCTTTGCCTTTAGAGTTGCTTTGCAGACATCTGCACTTGGGAGTATGTGTGGGAGGATTTTTATGGCAGAGGATCTGATGGCTTCAGTCTTGGTCTCATCTTTCCTTGCAAAGGTAGGCGATGTGATCTTTCTTG